TCTATTTTGATTTTTTTTTCAAACAAAAAAATACAAAATTTACTTTTTATCCCAGATACTGCTTTTATTATAAAAAGGGTATAAATAATATAAGTGCACTAGTGAAAAAAAATTCAATTTCCCCATTTTTGAAGGTATTGGACGTGTGGTGTTTGGGTTACCCCTTTAAAAAAGGGTAAAAATAAAAACATTTCCCCCTACTTTGACCCTAAATTTAAAGGGTCTTTTTCATCGGGGAAAGTAACCCAAAATCAATCTATTTCTGTAAAAATTTTTTTCCTTTTTATCCCCTGAGCCCATAAAAACGGGGAATACAACCCAAAAAATTACTTATTTTAAAAACCCCACCCAAAATTTTGGCTTTTTAATCCAAAAAAAAGGGTCATTTTTTTTTTTTCCCCCATTACGCATGAAACCCTGCAGGATTTTTTTTTGGGGTTTCACATAAATCCCCACAGCCCCCATTCTCTCACTGGGGGGCCCTACCGTTTCCCCCCGCTTGATTTTAAGCTGCTAGAATTTACGGTATAAAAAAACATCAAAACGGGGTTTGCAAAGCGTATATTATGACCGAAACAGTAAAAGGGGTTTTAACAATAAACATAAAAGAGGTTTTTATAAGGCCTCCTCATTTAAATTTGGGGAAAATTCCATTCCTAAGCCCAAAAGTCTTTTAAAAACCAAATTCGTTGTTTAGTGGGAGCTCCAAAATGGTGGGGGGCCCTGTATCAACTATTTTTAAAATTTGTTTTAATGTCACCTTTGAAACATTTATAACATTTCTGGTATATTTTTAAATGTTTTATACAGTATTGTCCCTGATATTGAAAATAAAACAGAAGAGGGAAAATAAAAGCTCTAATTTTAAAATTTTTTGGGTTTTTTAAATTTACGGTCAGACTCGTCAAAAAGTCCGAGGTGTCAGGAAACGGAATTTCAGGGCTCCCTCAACATTTGCGAGGGTTTTGGGGATCAAGAACCTGGTGAAGGGTTTAAAAATTGCAAATCTTTGGTGCCCCCAAAATAAAGGGGGGATATTAATACCCAAAATGCTTTTCCCTTTAACCCCCATTTGGGAAACCCTGAACAAACATAAAAAAACAAGAAAAAAAACGTAAAATATTGTTTAATTAAATGCCAGCCCTTTTTTAAAGAAGCTGAAAAAATATAAATTTTAAGAAAAACTAATCGAGTCCAAGTGGAGGAGGAAAAGAGAGGGGAAAAATGTGCCTTCCCTTTAGTGATTCAATGATTTTACAATAAATGATATAAAGAAATGTTGGGAGATGTTTCAGGTGTAAAGGATAGGAGGGGTTTCTGAAAGCAATGAAGAGTTTTTGCGGGGTGTGAGGCCCAATTTTGAGATGTAGGAAAAAGGGGGGATTATTTCCCAGTTTAAAAATTTGGTTAACAAGGGGGGTGTGTGTCCCCGGGTTGTTTAATTTAAATTTCCCAGATGGGGTTTAAAAAAAAGTAAATGCGAGGGTTTTTGGCAAAGGCGTGGGGTTAAAAAATAAAGGAAAACACACAAAAATGGGGGGTTGTCGCAATTGCTCTTTTTGGGTGGGCCCCTTTTGCTTTGGGAGGTTTGAAGAGAAATTTTCAGAGGTTGGGGGATGGGGAAATTTTTTTAGGGTAAGTAAAAGAAAATTTTAAAATGGGAAAACAGGAAAGGGGTAAGGGTTATGAGGACAACAAAATGATTAGGTGATGAAAGACTGGATATCAGATTGGAGGGAGAGAGTATGGAGGAGGTGAATGTATTCAGATATTTGGGAGTGGACGTGTCAGCGGATGGGTGAATCATAGAATTGATGAGGGAAAAAGGGTGAGCGGTGCACTTAGGAGTCTGTGGAGACAAAGAACTTTGTCCTTGGAGGCAAAGAGGGGAATGTATGAGAGTATAGTTTTACCAACACTCTTATATGGGTGTGAAGCATGGGTGATGAATGTTGCAGTGAGGAGAAGGCTGGAGGCAGTGGAGATGTCATGTCTGAGGGCAATGTGTGGTGTGAATATAATGCAGAGAATTCGTAGTTTGGAAGTTAGGAGGAGGTGCGGGATTGCCAAAACTGTTGTCCAGAGGGCTGAGGAAGGGTTGTTGAGATGGTTCGGACATGTAGAGAGAATGGAGCGAAACAGAATGACTTCAAGAGTGCATCAGTCTGTAGTGGAAGGAAGGCGGGGTAGGGGTCGGCCTAGGAAAGGTTGGAGGGAGGGGGTAAAGGTTTTGTGTGCGATGGGCTTGGACTTCCAGCGGGCATGCGTGAGCGTGTTTGATAGGAGTGAATGGAGACAAATGGTTTTTAATACCTGACATGCTGTTGGAGTGTGAGCAAAGTAACATTTATGAAGGGATTCAGGAAAACCGGCAGGCCGGACTTGAGTCCTGGAGATGGGAAGTACAGTGCCTGCACTCTGAAGGAGGAGTGTTAATGTTGCAGTTTAAAAACTGTAGTGTAAAGCACCCTTCTGGCAAGACAGTGATGGAGTGAATGATGGTGAAAGTTTTTCTTTTTCGGGCCACCCTGCCTTGGTGGGAATCGGCCAGCGTGCTAATAAAAAAATAAAAATAAAGCAGAATTAGTCGATAAAGGCTATAGTGCCAGCCAGCAATAAAGTGTAGCATTAACAGTGTAGCAAGTAAGTTAAGTGATAAACAGTTAGAAAAAGGACAGCATGAAGCTAACTCCTCCAATGTTGTTGGAGTTATACAGGGCGACTGACAACACCGCCGTCTCTAGTCTCTACTGCCTCTGATGCTGCCTCCATGGCTTATGTCTCAGTGGCCTTTATACACCCAACAACAACAACACAGCAACACTCTTGACATACTTAAATGACGTATTTTAATTCATTCTAGAGTATATGTCATGTTTCTTTTGTTAATAATTTGTTTATTTCATATCAGATGAATTGTGAAAGATAAATAAGCCATAGAGTTGATATTACTGTCATATTGAAGGACTATCTTGGTCCTATCTCCTAACAAACTCTGCCACCGCCACAATACCTAAGATATGTAATGACATATTTTAAATATGATTGGGCGGCTGGGAATTCGCGAATGTTTGAAGCCTGCAAAAGTGGACAACGCGAATGTTGAGGGAGACTTGTACGTCACTAAGTGAGGAGAGAATGCATTCAAGTCAATGACTGCAGTTGTGTAATATAAACAAAGAATAAAGAAGACTGCAAAAAGCTGTAGGACTGCAGTGATGAAGATGGGAGGAAAAAAGATAAACTGGTACTACCATATGAAATGAGAAGAAACCTACTGCTAGTGTTGTGGTTAAAAAAAAAAAAAAAATCTAGGGATGGACATCACACCATAATCACTGGAAGCTCATATAAACAAGGTAAAAATCAGTGCTATATGGTAAACCAGGAACCCTTAAGTACCTCAACAAGGAATCATTCTAAGTAAGATATACTGTACAATACAGCATTGGCATGGAATCCTCACCATTTTAAGCATCTAAGAAAGCTTAAGCAAGTCAAAGAAATTTATGAGCAAACTGTCTCATGAAATAAAAGATTTGAGCTTTGATGACAGACTTAAAGAACTAAGTTTAACAATGCTGAAGAAATCAAGGTACACTGGGACATGATTACAATATACAAGATATTTAGTAGTACTGTACTTAGAGGGTAGATAAGGATGCTGTCTGCAAGGGGTGGGATTAAAATAATGGAGGCAAAATTGCAAATTAACCCAAACAAGTGAGCTAATAAAAGGATTTTTCTCAATGTGAGGGTAATGTATGGAATGCACTAGGAATACATGGAGTTGGGGAAGCATCATACAGTTGATTGATGCACCCCCCCCCCAAAAAAAAAAAAACAAGTGAAATCTAACAAACAATTAAATATTCAAGAAAGGACAATCCAAGCTCAACTTTATTCATATTCTTTACATTTACAATGTCACTGACTACTGATTTTAAATTATCTGAAATTTTTAAGCTCTTAAAAAAAAAAATCCAAAAATATGAAATGCTAAAATATAGTGAACTGAGAAGTACAGCATACAAAATTTTGAATGTAAAAATAGCTATTTTTCCACTAAGAAAGATGCATGTCATAATTACCTATCCTTCAATACAAGACTTCTACTTACTTGTTAGCTATATCAGTCTGAGCATGTTGTTTCAGCAGCAATTTAACAATTGAGGTATGCCCTCTATCACATGCCCAGTGCAGAGCTGTCATTTTTAACTGTTAAGAAATAAATTATTTATTACACTGCCCAGTGCAACAAAAATTTTTTATTAATTCATTCTGATCTTTTACTGACAAATTTAATATTATGGCTGAGATTACAACCTTTTCCTAATTATCATATTTTGAATGCTTACTGTAAATCATTTATAAAAAAATGGCAATCCATTATATTTTACCTTTTAATCACAAACTTAACTGGATAAATTAATTCATAAAAAGAAATCCCAATTTCCCCCTGCCTCTACCAGGTACAGGTCCTCCATCACAAATCCGGCTCATTGGGCCCTGTAGTGTGCCAGATTACTGAGTTTGTCGGATTACAGAGTGGTTAGGTTAGAATACACTTAATAAAATTAACCAATTGACTTCCCCAGTTCCCCAAAACATCGGCAAAAATCGAACATTTCGCTACTTTGAGCTCAATTTAAAGGTACTTTTCTTTCATGAAAGCAATCAAAATCACGTCTATTTCTGTAATATATCTTCCTTTCTATCAAATGATTTAAAAAAATTTGAGAATAAAACCCATAAAAACCATACGAAAATATACTGCAAAGAGGCGGCTAATGACTGAGAAATTAACTCCCTTATTTATCGTCCGTTTTTTTATTTTTGTTTTACGTTAAGAAGCATTTTTCCCATCATACTTTCCCCCAAAGTTTCAATGAGATAGCCCAACAAAACAACCAAGAAAAAAAAAATATTTACCAAAAATCATATATGGCAAGCCCAAGCCAGGTATTGGAAATAAGTCACTTTTTTGACTTTTCTGGGTTATCCTAGGTTCTCTATACATATACTGCTATGTATGATAATCTTGTAACTGTATTTGTGTATACTTGAAAAACTTATTTATTTAGTTGTAAAACTGAGTACAAGAACTGCCCATTCACTTATTTCAACTCCCCAAATTTAAAGTGGTCAGAAATTGGCAATTTGGCCAATTTCACACAAATTTCAACAGATGCCAATTTCCAAAATAGGATCCAGAAAAAAACAATGCAGACATTCCTGGCACTAAAATAACATTTTCTCTGTTCATTAGTCACGGATACGGGCCCCCTCTTATATTACTCTTGCTTTTCTTTTTGGAAATTTTTATTCACAAAAAAATAGAAGATTTACTGTTATGCAGACTACTGCATTATTGTAATAATTGTATAAATAATGTCAAGCCATTCTTGACTCCATATTGAATTTAGACTGGCATGTGGACAGGTATTGGACGGTGACGTCATTTGTTTCCTCTTGAGCTTCGCTAAAGAGTAGAAACATTTTCACTACTGTGAGAGCAATTTCAAGGTACTTTTCGTCATGGGAAAACAATCAAAATCATATCTATTTCTGTAATATATCTTTTATTCTATCAAATGAGACCGAAAAAAATGAGAATATAACCATAAAACCATACAAAAAAATACCGCCTTTAAACGGCCGCTAATGGCTGAGAAGTGAACTCCCCTATTTATGGTCTGATTTCTTTCATTTTTGGTGTACATGAAGAAGTATCTTTCCATCAACATTGCCAAGTTTGAATTAAGATAACCAACAAAACAACTGAAAAAAAAAATATAATAATAATAATAATAATATCTTTATTTACTACATGTACATGTATACAAGGTATACAGGCCTACCTGACATCAGTGACATACTACGTACTGTATAGAAAGCCGCTTGTTATGCTATTTCAAGAAAATTAGGTCAGTGTCCTAGGATAACACCCCCACTAGTCGACTAACACCCAGGTACCCATTTACGATGGGTAAACATAGACAAAAGGTGTAAAGAAACACGCCTAATGTTTCTACTCGGGCTGGGAATCGAATATTTACCAAAAAAACATATATGGCTAACCAAGCCAGGTACTAAAAATAAGCCACGTTGACTTTTTTGGGTTATCCTAGGTTCTCTACACATATGCTGCTATGTGTGATAATCTATATAGAGAAAATAACTTTGTTTTCATGTTTATGGTGCAGTATGAGTGTATATCACAGCTAGCCCTGTGCTACACTCCGTTTTCTTTTAAAATAAGCCCCCAAGACAGGGATAGGAAAATGGTATTTGTATACCATATCCTCTTCATACCTCTGTCGAACTGCTCGGTATTATGCCAAATATTATTCATTTGGAGTATTTAACATGTTTTATGTTATTTTATTGTTTATTATGTCATATTAGATCAATTGTGATTGGCAAAAAAGCTGTAGTGTTTTATTTTTAGCATAATAAAAGCATATTCTCCTGCATCTGAGACTGAGCTCATGGTTGATAAGGGCTTCAAAGCCACCTTATCTTTAATGGATAATGTAATGTGTAGGTGCTTTACATAATGAGAAGCACTTCTTTTATTCACTGGAACCATGGCTAGGGGTAAAAGTAAGCAAGTTAAAACAATAAATGGAGAAAAAAAAAATTGGAATGACTTATGCAGCAAGTAGTGCCACCAAACAGTACCAGCAGGTTGGTATGGCAAAACCCCGGAAATTTGAAAATTTTTGCTAGCCAAAACTAGTGCCGAATAATGAAGGAAACCCAATAACTGATTGCCGGATTTGTGATGGCGGACCTGTACAATGACCTTTATTTAAAAAAAAATTACTATAAAATCTATCTTCTACCTGTAGCATCATTCCTCCAGGAACACGAGAGGGTAAACAAAACAATCAAGCCTCAAGGTTACACTGCCTAATGATGCCTCATCTATCAACCTGCCTATCCAAATCACATACAGTGGTCCCCCACTTTTCGTAGTTCCCGGCAATCGTAAATTCGCCAATCATAGAGGTATTTTCGTATACACATGGACTCGCTTTTCATAGGTTGGGCTCGCGGTCGTAGTTCGTCCGGGGGCGGTACCCACGGCGGTGAGCCAGGGCGGCAGCCAGTCTGGCATTGTTTACCAGTGAGCAAAGGTCCCCTCACGTGCTCCAGCGAAATATTTCATAATATTCCATTTATTTTAATGCTTGCAAGTACTAATAAGCTACCATGGCTCCAAAGAAGCTCCTAGTGCAAGCTGTGGTAAAGAAGGTGAGAAATACGACTGAATTTAAGAAAACCATCATGAAAAAAATATGAAAAGTGGTACAAGTGTGGCCGAACTGTCCAGGATGTATAAGAACCCTACACAACCTTATGTTCCATAGGGGCCCAGAAAAATGAAATAAGGATGCTTTTGTTGCAAAGGGAGTAACTAGCTGACAAAAATGAGATCACCAGTACTCGAAGAGGTTGAGAAGTTATTATTGGTGTGGATAAATGGGGAAAACAATTAGCAGGAGATACTCTTATGACTTCGTTTATTTGTGAAAGGCTAGGCGTTGCATAAAGATTTGGTAAAGAAATTGCCTGAAAATAGTGGTGAAGTGAGTGAATTTAAGGCCAGCAAAGGCTGGTTTGAGAGATTTAAGAACCGTACTGGCATACACGTGTGGTAAGGCATGGTGAGGCTGCCAGTTCGGACCACAAGGCGGCTAAAAAAATATGTGAAATGAATTCCAGGAGTAATAGAGGCTGAAGGACTGAAACCTGAACAAGTGTTCAATTGTGACAAAACAGGCCTCTTTGGAAGAAAATGCCAAAGGGGGACCTTCATTACACAAGAGGAAAAGGCAGTGCCAGGGACACAAGCCTATGAAAGACAGGCTGATGCTAATGTTCTGTGCAAATTGCTAGTGGGAATTTCAAAGTGAAGCCATTACTAGTGTACCATTCTGAAAACCCCAGAGTCCCTCAGGAAAAACAATGTTATGAAGAGTAATTGTGTGTGTTTTGGAAATCTAACAGTAAGACATGGGTCACGAGGGAAATTTTCGTTGAGTGGTTCAATGAAGTGTTTGGCCCTAGTGTGAAGGAGTATCTCCTGGAAAAAAAATTGGATCTCAAGTGCCTGCTAGTAATGGACAATGCACTGCTCATCCTCCAAACTTGGATGACCTAATTTTCGAGGAGTTTGGGTTCTCACAGGTAAGTTCTTGCCCCGAATACCACTCCTCTCCCCCAAAACCCATGGACCAGCAGGTTATTGCAAATTTTTAAAAAACTCTACACAAAAGCAATGTTTCACAGGTGCTTGACTGTGACCACAGACACTCACTTGACCCTAAGGGAAATTTTGGAGGGGAACACTTCAGCACCCTCCACTGCAAAAACCCATATAGGTATGGCTTGGGAGGGAGTAAATCCCAGGACTTTGAACTTGCCTGGAAAAAATTGTGGCCAGATTGTGTCAACAAGAGGGATTTTAAAGAATTTGGGACTGGCCCTAATGAGCCTATGTCTGTTGTAAAATCAATTGTGGCACTGGGGAGTTCCATGGGGTTGGATGTGATTTTGGAGGATGTGGAAAAATTTGGGTGGAAGACCACATGAAGAGCTACAACTGAGGAGCTGCAAGAGCTTCAGCAGGAAGAGCAACACATCGCAGCTCAGAATCTTGCTGCAAAGGAGGAGGGAGAGAGATGGAAGAAGGTGCCTTCTTCAGAAATTAAAGAGATTTTTACTAAGTGGGATAAGATGGAAAGCTTTATGGAGAAACATCACCCTAACAAGGTTGTTGAAGCCAGGTTGGCAACATGTACAGTGACCCAAAAACTTGGGCCATTTTAGGGAAGTGTTAAAGAGACGCCAGAAACAGAGCTTTTCTCCACAGTTATTTTGTGAGACAGGACTCCAGTGACTCTCAAGGTGGTCTAGTGGCATTAAGAAAAGAGAGAGAAAACAACCCAGAAAAGCAAATGGTACCAAGGGTTTATGGAAGGGGGGTTCCCCCCCCAAATATAAAAAACACTCTCTTCCCCCTCCGTCTCCCCTACATAGAAGAATCCCAAAAAAGGTAAGTGTATGCTGTTAAGTTTCTTCATCATTTTTCCCTTGTATTGTTTTGTACTAATGCAATTTCATGTTAAAAAAAATTTTTTTTTTTTTTTTTAATATTTGGGGGTCAGGAACGGTTTTTAATTGATTTCTTTTTTTTTTATGGGGGGAAA